CACTGGAGGAACCGTGTCTCCGCCTGGGCCTCATGGCAGCCACAGGCCTCAGGCAGCGCTCCCCAGCTGTCGGGGCTGCATGCTGCACTCACGTTCCAGGGCGTCTTCCGGGCCGACTCGAGTCAGGGCTGCCTCTCGGAGGCCACCGCAGCCGTCCTCACACTGCAAGGGTCCTGGGGGGCTTTCGCATGCACGCTGGCTGGGCACAGAGAAGACACCTGGCCCTCACGTCCACTGCAGGCCCAGCCGCATGCTGCCCAAGGTGGCCCATGTGCCTGAGTGTGGCCCCTGCCCAGCGACGCTGAGAGGTGTAGGTGCCGCCCTCAGGCTCTGGGAGCGGGGTCCTCCCTCCCGCCAGCGGTCCTCCTACGCGTGCTCCCACCAGGCACGCTGTGCCTTGGCCCACTGGGCCCTCAGCAGAGACCAGGTCCCTGGGCTGGCCCGGTGTCGGCCTTTAGCCTCCAGAGCTGGGATTAAATACTTTTCTTCATACAGGACCTAGCCTCATCCTAGTCCTCGTCCATGCTGCTGGGACATGGCACCAGGTCTCCAGAAGCACAAACACACACTTTCTGGAAGACTCTGGAGGTGACACTGCCATCATGAAGAAAGGGATGTCACAGGGGGCTTCATGCCACTTTCACAGGGGTGAGTTCCCTGCGCAGTGTGAGTCCCACCCCTTTCTGTCCCTCCCCTCCTCCCCCGCCGTGGAAGGACAGCCCTCGAAGGGCTGGACATCCTCGCTGCTGGCCCTGTGGAACACTCCAGTGTCCACTGTCAGTCACAGTGCAGCAGAACAGGCCCATGCCTGAGCTCTTCGGTCTTTAACGTTTCTCTTTATCTCTAACAGTAATTTTCATTTTACCACCCACCCTGGTTGGGTTGCTCTTTGTGGTTGCCATTTCCATAGCACAGGCATTTCCATCCTTTTACTTTAAACTGTTTGGATGTTTGGACCCAGAGGGTCTCCTTTCATTCTTCTTGTTTTTCTGCCTGACGACCTCTGCGCTTGGCTGCGGACACAATGACCCAGTTATGTTCAGCGCTACTGCGGACGTGCTTGGATGCACCGCGCCATCTTGGTTTCTGCCTGATATGTGTCTCATAGCTTTTCGCTCCTTCCATTTCTCCCCACTGCTTTCCTCTGTGTTAATTATTTTCTGGCATATCATTTCAATTCATTCAGAGCATTCAAATTTTGGGGATTTTCTTAGTGGCTTCTAGGGCTTATTACACTACAGGTGTTCACCTATCAAAATCAAGTCCAGACTTCCATTACGATGCGCCCAGGCTGTCTGGAAGTCCATGCCTTCAGTTCTGTCCTCAGACACTCAGGAGGCCCTCACTGTGTCCATGTTTCGGGCCCAGTGACACACACCTCTAACTGGTGAGTTCCGTAATTGTCTCTGACGACAGGCGTGAAGAAAGGGGAGGAGGTGTGCTGTGTGCCTTTGCTTCTCCGCAGCTCCTGATGACGTTGCGCTGCTCCCTGCTGCTGTTCACCGTGGTGCTGTCTCAGTCACACACCTTACACCTCTGTGCTTTGGCCCCAGGACACAGTGCGGAAGGTTATGCATGTGGCTGCTCTTCAAAGCGAGAGACAGAATCTCAGGGGCGAGTTCACGGTCCGATGGCATCGCGGGAGGTGTGGAAACAAGAGGGCTGGGGTGTGGCCCTGGGGAAGAAGAGCCACAGATCATGACAGTGGGCTTGGACTCTGGACGGTGCCTTGGTCGGACTGAGAAACACCTAGGAAGCGAAGCGCTCTGGGTGTGTCTGCCACCGGTGAGGTCACTGTCTCGCTGTCGAGGGCATTAAGGGAGGTGACAGAACAGGAGGCAGAGCCCGACTGGCACAGTGGGGACCGGGTCTGCCCCAGGCTGCTCCTGGCTTCTCCTTCTCTCTGCTTCCTCCTCCTGGACCCCGGCCCTGGCCCTGAGCGAAATCGTCCTCCTCTCCTGTGGCTGTGCGTCAAGTGCTCTTTCCGGCTCTGGACAGCTGAATAATACATAGACTGCATTATTTCTCTATGCTTCTCTGGCTTTTATTTCCTTCTTTTGCTTTTTATTTTTTATTTTTTGCTTTTCCTTTTCCTTTTTTCTCTTCTTTACTGTATTTTATTGATTTTCTACTTATTCTGCCAGATTTTAATTTTTTTTCTCGTCTCCTTTTAAACTTTTGTTGCTTTGAGACAGGGACCCGCTGTGCAGCTCAGGCTGGCCTTGAATTCACTGTGTAGCCCGGGCTGGCCTCGAACTGACAGCAGTCCTCTTGCCTCAGCCTCCTGAGTGCTGGGATTACCATGCCCGGCTCAAGGCAGTTTCTATTTTAAATTCACTGGTATTTAAATTCACTAATCTTATCTATAATATCTAATCCACCATTAGGCTTATCCCGTGTATTCTCACTTTGGACTTCACACCCTCGTTTCTGCATGTCCATTTTCTGTCTTCTTGTCTTTCATGCTTCTGTGTGCACCGAGGCTGCTGAACAACCGTCTTTGTCTGGGATCGTGCACTCCTGCATCTCCGCCAGTCAAGACCTGGTGCTGGCTGCCCAGTTACTGCCCCATCACAGGCTGTGCGTCTTCACTTCTCTGCATGTCTGGCATTCTTTGAATAGATGCCAGGCATTGCGAATTTTACCTTGTTGGCTGCTGGATACTTCTGTATTCCCACAACTCTTCAGTTCAATTGGGAATTCATTTCAGTTGCCCAAATCTAGTTACTTCTGTGCCTTGTACCTGGGGTCTGCATCGCTCCAAGTGCTACAAGTCCTTCCCCCGCTGGGAACAGGTCCCTCTGGTGACACCACTGGGGCCTGGACAGCCAGCTCCGGCCTGTGCGGGCACCTTCCTGCCACAGGGCACCTCTGCCCTGAGAGCTGTGGCAGCTCTCGTCGCCCTCCTGGTCATCTCCAGCACTGGGCCAGGCTCAGGTTGGTGCGTGGTCCCTGGCTGCACCCTGGAAACTGCAGCCGCCATCAGGCTGTGGCCACTTCCTCCCCATCAGGGTCACCACTGTTCGCCACTGACGTTGGGCTCTGAAAAGCAGAGTCTTACATTTGCTTCAGGTAAGGACCAATCTGGCCCCGTTCACACATCTTAGATTTATTACTGTATTTTTAAAAAACAAAATAGAAGCAGCAGTTTTCTTTTTAAAAGCATATGGAGGCCGGGGATTTAGCTCAGTGGTTCTGTCACCTGCCTCACAAGTGCAAGGTCCTGAGTTCGATCCCCAGTACCAAAAAAAAATAAAAGCACATGCAGATGGCACTGAGTCCACTCCCAGCTCTTCCCTAGGTGCCCCCCCCCGCCACGGAGGTAGTGTCTCCTGACCCACATTCTAGTTCCCGGATTCTCTCTTCATCCGGGTCTAAAGTGGGGTTCAAATCATTCAGTGATTTCCCAGTTTGGAATTTTGTGTTTTTCATTTCTAGAAGTTCCATGGTGGCTCTTTTAAAAACCTCCCTTGTCAAATTTATAGTTTCCAGTTGTTGCAAAGAATTTATGAGCCTAGTTTTATCCCCTTGAGCATAATAAGCACATTCATTTTATGGTTTCTGGCTGATAATTCAAGTATCTGGATTTCTTCTCATCTCTTTTTCCATGGTATATCATCTCGTGTTTCTGGTATTTTTTGCTTACATTTTGGAAAGGGATTTGAATTTCATTTGTAGAACCGTTGAAGGTTAAGGGTGAGGCTGACACTGCACCCAGAGGACTCTAATTTGCTTTTGCAAGGCACACGGGTACCTGAGCCATTGGAGTAACCTGATGTCAAGCTCAGGGCTGAGAACTTGAGCTTCTCCGAGTTCGAGGTCGGAGCTACCCAGATGACTCAAGGCTGGGCCACAGTCCACAGAGGGCTGCCTTCCCCCTGACTCACCCATCCTCCCGGGTGCATTCCCTCTTGTGTCCAGCCAAAAGCAGGTGTGGCTGACTGTGGTCCACACCCTTTGGGTCCTGGACTCCTGTTTTGTTTCCCTAACCCTAGAAGATTCCAGGAATGACAGAGTCCTTGTGCTACCTTTTTTTCGGGGCAGAACCGCCCTCTCCGTGCCCGGGATCTTACTTGGTGGGTCATCACCACCTTCAGGGGCCCTGCTTCTGGGGAGTGCGCCTGTGCCCACAGAGGCACTGCTGTCCCCTTGGGAGGCCGGCCCTCGAGCGCTGTCCCCCACAGCTGGCGCCTGCACACTCTCTGTGGCCCGGGGTCGGTTCCATTTACTTCTGAGAGAAGGCAGCGATAAGGCTCTTCCTTCACTACCCCGAGCAGATCGCTCCTTTCCAACTGTGCCTAGGGAGCAGCCCCTTCCCCCGGCCGCCCCCCACACCAGTTCAGTTGAGGATGGGCCCTCCAGTTCACAACAATCGCATTCTGGTTCTAGTCCCACAACAGACTCAACGTCTATATTCCCCCAAATCCATAGGTTGAAACCCCAAACTTCCGGTGTAAGAGTGTTCAAGGTGGGGCGTCTGTAAGGCGATGAGGTCCTGGCGTGGCCATTTCTGTCTGCACCCCAGGCGGGGCCTCTTGAGGACCAGCCCACGCTGGCTCCCTGACCCCAGGACACCGGCCCCAGAACCGGAAGAGCAAGACTGCGGTATTTCGTTCAGCAGCGCCGGCAGATGAAGACGACGCCATCCACTCTGCCACTTTCTGTCCCAAGCTGGGTCCCGCTGCTGTTTGATTACCACAGACAGCATCGTCGCAAGCTCTTTCCAGGGAAATGACCTGCCCGATTCCTCTTGAGTCTTTGCTTTTCCACGTGAATTATAACCTGTAGGCGGGAGTTTGGGGTGCATTCCGGAAGTGTGGCGGCCCTGATGGAGTTTCTGTGGCTCTGCAGGCCTGAGACCCACGCGCCTGGGCATCTCTCCGTTCTTCTGACGCTGACATCTATGTCTTATAATTTCTCTTTCATTACGTAGTCCTGTGGCCTCCTAGGCCTTGATCACCTGTCAGAACTCGCGAGGAGGGACGCATTTTCCTGTGCCAATGAAGCCTGAACAGGCAGGTTCCTCGCAGCTGGGAGGCCCACGCCTGCCCGGAAACGAGGACGGCGAGCGCGGGAACTCTGAACGGCGGCCCCGCCCCTTCCGTGCGCAGCGGAGCCCTCGCCCTGCTGGGGGCGCTGTCGCGGGCTCCGGTGCTCGCCTGGCCGGTGGGCTCATGGCCGCCCCGGCGAGCGTCCGGGGCGTCATCCTCGCGCTCCTGCTGCTCCTGCCGGCCCCTTTCCTCGCGCTCCCGCCCGGGCGCCTCGCCGTCCCCTCGCACCCCGCGCCCGCCTGTGGCCAGCGCGCGCCCGCGGCCGGGCGCAGGTGGCCGTGGCAGGTGAGCGTGCACTACGCGGGCGCGCACGTGTGCGGCGGCTCCGTGCTCGACGCCTACTGGGTGCTGTCGGCCGCCCACTGCTTCGGCTGGTGAGCTAGGGCGCGGGGCGGCGGGGCGCGGGGCGGCGGGGCAACGGGGCAGCGGGGACCCCTCCCTCCCCTGCACCCGCCCGCACCCGCTCGTGGCCCGGGACCGGCCCGGAGCGGGGGAGGCCGACGGCAGTGGCTCTTGCGTCCCACGCAGGGACAAGAGCATCGCCTCCTTCGACCTGTACGTGGGCCTCAACGACCTGCGGGCCGCCGGCGCGCACACTCAGTGGTTCGCCATGAGCCGCGTGATCCTGCACCCCGCCTACCAGATGTGGCACCCCCTGGGCGGGGACGCGGCGCTGGTGCAGCTGCAGTCGCGCATCGAGTTCTCGGACGCCGTGCGGCCCGTGTGCCTGCCACCGCCCACCCTGCAGCTGGACGGCAGCGAGGTCTGCTGGGCCACGGGATGGGGGCTCACATCCCTGCAGGGTGAGGACTGGCGCGGAGGGCGGGGGAGGGGCGCGCGTGGTCCCTGGGGTGCGGGGGGGGGGGCGTGCGCAGTAAGGACGCAGCCGCCCCCCGCCCAGGCTGGGAGTAACCTGTTACAGAGACGGGCTCCTGACGTGGACTGGCGCCGCCGAGTGGAAACCTCCACGCTGATCGGAAGCGCGCGTGGGGCGGGAGGGCGCTTGGCCGTGGTGGAAGGGCTTCCGCGAGGGCGGGGCTCCTCCCCGTGGGCGGGGCTGCGGGTCAGCTTGGGGCTGTTTCCAGGGGCCCTGGGCTGCTCCAGCCTTGGGGCCACCATCGGCTGACGCTGCTGACCTCCTACTCCCTCAGGCCTTTCCTCGAACCAACTACAGGAGGCCCAGCTGCCCCTGGTCCCGCAGACCCTGTGCAGGATTCTCTATTCGTACCCTGCCATCCTGCCCAACATGCTGTGCGCTGGGAGCCTGGGGACCCTGCGGACCGTGTGCGAGGTTCGACCCCCCTGGCCGCAGGGTGCGGGCGGATGGGCCTGAGCACCTCCACCAGGACGGAGCCTGACCTGACCCCTGGCTGTGTGAAGGGGCCCTGCACTCCACCATCTCAGCAGACCTCTCCCTTTGCAGGGTGACTCTGGGGGCCCACTGGTGTGCGAGTTCAACCGCACGTGGGTGCAGATTGGAATCATGAGCTGGGGCTGCGGCTGCAACGAACACGTGTACCCTGGAGTGTTCGCCCGAGTCTCCTATTTCTCCTCGTGGATCCGCTACCACGTGGAGAGAAAGCCCCTTCCTTCCCAGCCAGCCCCCGCCCTCTGCCCCGCTCGGGGGGCCGCCCTCGGTGTGCTTGTGACCGCACTGGCCGGCCTGGGCCTCTCCTGACGGCCACGCAGCTCCCTCCCACATGACCAGGCAGGGGTGAGGCTGGGCCCAGGTGTGGCCTGCAAGGGGTTGAGAGCAACGGAGCGGGGCTGGAGGAAGAGGCGGGAGGCAGGCGGGCCCTGGAGCCAGAAGATATTAAATGTTCATAAAGCAGGGGCTCTGCTGTTTTTCCCCTCCCGGTCCACGGCGGGACCAGGCTCCCATCAGCCCCGTCACAGCCTGGGAAACCAGGGACCTCGAGAGGACACCTGTGTGAAGCTGGGGGTGCACCCAGACCTGAGGCGAGGTCTGTAGCCTGTAACCAGAAAAGTGCTGAAAACATCAAACGTCCATTTGGAGAAACCAGAAAACGCGAGCTGAGTGAGGGTGGACGCAAGGGGGTGCATGAAAGGCCCAACAGCAGTGAATGCGCCGGCAGAACAGAAGGGCAGGGGCCTGGAACCCGTCCTCACCCCATGCAGCGACCTGGGGTCACAGATAGCTCATGTCCCCACCATCCCTCATCCCTCATCCCTCTGGGGTCACCGCAGTGCCCGGGAAGCTGCGCTGGGTCCCGTACGAGTAGGACAGCGGTCACAGGGACCTGGGTCGGCAGGCGTGGTGCTCGGGGTCCTGGAACCCATCTGCAATGGGTGTGTGTTAGAGAGCTGTTGAGATAGAGACCAGGGAAAATAGAAAACTTCACGATAAGAATAAAATTACACAAAACATAACAAATCACAAGAGATACAATTCTATGTAAATAAATTTTAATGAAAGGAAGTAATGTTATCAAAACCAACCCCAGTCCAGATAGAAAGCTTAAACAAACCAAACTGCACAAATGAAGTGGGGAAATTTAGTAGAGAACATTTCCTCCCATAGAAATCCACTGGTTTCCTCGGGAACCCCACTGATCCAGCTGCAGGCCCTGGCCCTGCCCCTGCCCAGCCCAGGAACGGAGGAGCCTCCCCTTCCTCACGGGCAGGTGACTGGGCACCGCGATATCACCTTAGCCCGCACAAGCTCAGCTCAGCTCGGCTCAGCTCGGCTCAGGGGCAGAAACACAGAAACCCAAAGAAAAGTAACAGACACAGTCCCGTGCTATTTCCTAAAACCATGCTCTATGGTCAAGTAGGTCTATTGCAGTTACTTGAGGTTGGTTAGATATGAGGGACCCTATGGGTATAGTTTATCATTTTAATTACTCTGCTAAAGAAAAGAGTATTAATGAATAAGCTTTTGATAAATCCAAAACCCACTTCCAATTACAAAATAAGACAAATCAGTGGTTTGAAACGGGACATGATGGCGCATGCCTGTAATCAGCACTCAGAAGGCTGAGGCAGGAGGATTACTGAGTTTGAGGCCAGCCAGGGCTACATGGTGAGTTCAAGGTCAGCCTGGGCTACATGGCGAGACCTTGTCTCAGAAAACCAAATAACAATAATAAAAGTAGCTGGCCGGGGACTTAGCTCAGTGGCACCATTGCCTGCCTTGCAAGCGCAAGGTCCTGAGTTTGATCCTTGGCAGCCTCACCAGATTGTCACGCCAACCTTGCACCTCCATGAGACTTCAGATAAAGTTAACAAGGAGCATGCTGAGCACTGGGAAGCAGGAAAATAGGGCCAGTGGCCCTGAACCTAAGTCCTCACCTGTGTGCATTTTTTAGTCTTTTTGTTGTTGTTGTTGCTGGGGATCGAACTCGGGTCCTTGCACGTGCGAGGCAGGCAGCAGAATCACTGAGCTAAATCCCCGGCCCGTCATTTTTTAGTAGTGAATGAGAAAGGAAACAAGGGTACAACAGCAAAACAAACAGCAGGAATGAACTGAGTGGCTGTGGGACAAAACTTGTAAGATTTACCTAAAACAGTAAAATGAGCTGGGCATGGTGGCACACTCCTGTAATCTCAGCACTCGGGAAGGCCGAGGCAGGAGGATCACTAATCCAAACCCAGCTGGTTGTGAAATCCCATCTCAAAATTTTATAAAAGGTGTTTGGGTTGTGGAATTGATATAGTTCAGTGCAAAGGCCCTGGGTTCAACCCCCAATACAGAGAGGAAGGAATGGGGAAATGCCAAGAGTGTTTTCTTATCAGTAAGTATTTCCCATGTACATTGATTAAACTCTTCAGCTGAAAAGCAGAAGTTGCAGAATAGATACAAATACCCCAGAAAGAAAACAACCAAAAAGAAAAATCACCAAATCTGTGATCCATCTCTGCTATCTCGAAGAGATTCCTTTTAGATTCAAAGACACAAATAGGTAGGAAATGAAAGAATAGAAAAGATATTCCATGCAAGTAATAGGAGAACCAAGGGGTCTATCCAGAAAGATGGAAAATGAGGTTCTAATTAGGACGTCATTGCAGGAGACAAAGAAGGATGTTATGTACTAAAGGAAGGGCAATCCATAAGAAGATGCAACAATTATAAATGCACCTATAGAGCCCTGAAATACATTAAGCAGAATTTGGCAGAAATGAAGGGAGAATTTTACAGAAATAGTTGAAGATTTCAGTACTTTTCCTTCCAAAATGGATAGAAGCACTTGACGTTACAAGAAAGGAGAACTACAGATGAAGATCTCCTGTGAATACACGAGGGAAAATTTCCAACAAATACTGGTACGATGAATTCAACAGAGTATTAACATTCTGTGCACCGTGACCGAGCAGGGTTTATTATGGGAATCCGAGGGTGGCTCGAGGCAAAAACAGGCATCACATTAATAGGGTGATGGGGAAAAGACACAACCGCCCACAATGAGGCAAAAAAGAAAAAGGGCGACTGACGAGAGCCAAGATCCTTTCATGACAAAAGCATAATGAACCCAGGGTACACGCCTGTCATCCCAGCACTCTGGGAAGCTGAGCCAGGAGGATCAAAATAGATGATTAATTTAATTTGACTGGAAATGTAGCTCAGTACAAAGGCCCTGGGTTCAACCCCCGGTACCTGAAGACAAGGAATGCAAGGGAACATCCTGAACACCACATGGGCACATTTGACATCCCACAGCCCCAGGACATTCAGGGGGCACAGAGAGCCCCACGCCCCTGCTCCGCACAGCCCTGGGCGTCCTGGCCTGACACTGAGGCCAGAAAAGAACAAGCATTCCCTGTGGGAGGGGGAAGTGAGTCGGCTTCCGTTCCAGGGCTGTGTGCTTCTATGCTGAGAGCATTTGTAAAGAGTTCCCATGTGCACCTGTGCACATGCACACGAACACACGCACGCACTCCATGTGAGCTCAGGTGCAGCCCCAGAGTTAAGGATCAAAACCACACACAGGGCCAGGGGTGTAGCTCAGTCTTTCCGCCACCTGCCTTGCAAGTGCAAGGACCCGAGCTCCACCCCTGGTACCAAAAAACGCCCCCAAGAACCCACACACACAAGCCCGTTGTGCAGTGCTCAGCGCTACCTCAGCTCATGAGCTTGGTTCGTTCTCTGACTCTGGAAAGGATGGCCCTGGTCATGTTCATCACCTGATGCAGAGTTTGAAAGCAGAAACAGATTTTTGCGAAATGCTTCTGTTTGTGAACCGTGTTGTTTGCAAACAAAAGCATTTGCAAATCAAGGCACAGCTGTGCTTCGTGCAGCACCAGTGAGCACCGGAGGGGAACCGGCCCCAGGCCAGGGCCCCAGGCCCATGTGGGTGCCTAGAGCCAGCCGGGCCCTCAGGCCACAGCGTGGGGACTGCAGGGTCAGGGCCACTGGGGCGGGACGGGAAGTGGGGCCCAGCACGGGTGCACGTCCCACCCCGCATCTGCTGGGCACAGACCAAGGCCGGGCGACCTGGTGTGGGCAGGAGCCAGGCTGCTGTGCAGCGACAGGGAAGTGAGGAGTTCACCCAACACCAGCACAGCACCTTCCCGCCCCACGTCACCCTCTGCCAGGGCCCCAGGTGGCTGGGCGGGTGTCCCAGGACACCAGCCATGGGGACCAGCCGGTCCCTGTCCGCCCCTCGCGAGGACAAAGACCCTTCCAACACCACAGCCCAGGCTGGCCCGGAGGACGCCAGGGTCGGCACACTGAGGATGACCCTGGGTGGCCAGGAAGGGCCCATGGCCAAGGTCACGCAGCTGAGGTCCCTGACCGGTCACCAGACAGAGGATGGGGAGCCACATCCTCAGAGGGGATCCCAGGAGGGGCCTGCAGAGGCAGGGCGGGGAGCTCAGCCTGCAGTGCATCCAGGACAGGAGCCGGGGAAGCCCTGAGCAGCAGATGGGGGACATGGGCAGAGCGCAGGGCTGGTCCCCGCAGCAGACCCCACGTGAGCACTCGCCGACACACCAGGCTGTCCCTGCACTGTGGCACTGCGGCCAGGACCCCAGCTGATGACCCCGCTCCTTGGGTCGGCCCTCTCCCATCCCCCCATCCTGCTCCCTGCTGTACTCCGCCCCTCACCCGAGGGTGCTCTCTGGTCCCTTCTCATGCACGCCAGGTGCCTGGCGGGCAGGGACAGAGTGGCCCATGTCCCCCTCTTCAAGGACACCATGCGCACCCGCCTGTCAGCACTGCCCCTGCCCCTGAACGGCTCCAGTTGTGCCACCCCATGGCTGCCTCCTGCCCCTGTGGTGCCCTGTGAGCCCCGTGGAGCCGGGCGGCGTGACTGTCACTGGGCTCCGCCACTCTTATCCTCCCCAGGGCTCGCCTGCTGCTGCCCCAGGTTCCACCTCCTGCTTGGGCCTGTGTCCCAGGGGGCCAGGGCCCTGCTCGGAGTGGCACAGGGCGAGAGGGAGGGGCCTGGGCCACAGTGCCCGCCCAGCCCCTGCAGCAGAGCCCGGCCCCAGCAGGAAGGACCCCTGCCGCCTTCCGCTGAGGAAGCTGCTGCAGCATGGGCCAGGACCTGCTCCCAGAGTGGCCACCCAGGGTCCTTGCTGTGGCCTGAGTAGGCAGGGAGCGCACGGCCCTGGACATGCAGATGAGGACGTCGAAGACAGGGTGGTGGGACGAGGGCTGGTCGTGCGCTGGCCTTCTGAGGCGTCCAGGCCAGAGGTCACCAACCAGGACGTGGGGGTCCAGGCTGACGAGGCCTTGTGGGGCCAGGACAGGGCAGTTACCCTGTCCATGGGCCAGAAGGAGGGCAGCGTGTGCCCAGCCACTGCAGTCGGGTCTGTGCTGGGCAGGGCTGAGCTTCAGAGGAAACTGGGGTCCCCTGACCCTCCAGAGCCCAGCAAGGCAGGCCTGGGCTCCCAGTCCAGTCTCCGGGGCACAGGGTTCTCTCCCCACCGGGCGCCCGCTTCTGCTGGGATGCAGCCCTGGGCCGGGGCAGGGGGCATTCCAGACGGAGGGACGGGGCTTCAGGGCTGGGAGCCCCTGCTCAGCCCTGCTCGGGGGGCTTGAGATGCCCAGGAGCCCTCCCTCACCGCCCGGTCCCCAAGGCCCCTCCCTCCTTCTGGCCCTCCCTGGGCTGCAGAGCCGGCCAGGCCAGCGGCTCCCTCCTGAGGCGGGCTCTTGGTTCTTCATGAGTCTCCCACCCCATCAAGTGGTCCCGGAAGAGCGGAGCTGTCCAGAGCCGCCCAGCACAGCACAGCGGGGCGCAGGAAGGAGCTGGGCCTCCCCAGGACACCCAGGGAGGCCAGGGTCCTCGGGCAGGCGGAGACAAACACCTCTGATGAGCGAGCATCTGGTGGAGATGCAGCTCGCTGCCGGGACCCTCGACATTTCCCAGGACGTCTGGCAGAAGTCACAGTGCCTGTTTCTGTTCACGGGGAGAAGAGTTTTTCCAGCGAGGTCTGCGCTACTGTCTCCTTCTGGAGCCTGAGGGCCGGAGCTCGGTGCTCCCAGCCCCCCTTCCCAGGCGTGTAGTTCCCGGTCCCTGACCCCGCTGTCCGCGTGGCCCAGGTGGGGGGTGGGGCTGCTGCTCACTCCTCCAAGCTGAGCCAGAGTCCCTGCCCTGGGCCTGGCCCCTCTGGGGAGCCAGAGAAGACAGGCGGTGGCCGGCCAGACTGTGTGGCCCCATCAGCCCCGCAGCTGGTTCCAGGGCCGAGACCACACCCAGACGGCCGGGGTCCCTGCAGAACCCGGTGGACCCCAGGGAGCACCCTGCCCGGCCCGAGCCCGGGCGCCCAGCTGGAGGGCAGCACCCAGCAGGCTCCGTCTGCGCTGTGGCTGCCTGCCGGCCACGGCCACGCTGTGTGGTCCTTGTGGGAGACCTCGTTTATTTTCCTTTCTTTTCTCCTCCTCTTCCTTTTTCATAAAATGTGTTGGCGTGGAAGGCAGACAGGACCGCCACCGTGTCCTCATGAGCAGCTGTGCTCCCCACAGCGCCCCGCTGGCTGCTGCGCCCCACACCAGGCAGCCTCTGCAAGTCCTGGGGTTCAGCCACCAGGCTCCGGGCTCCCAGCCTGGCTGTCAAG